ATGATCGTGAATACTTGTCAACTCAAAAATTTATTTATACAGGTAATCTAAACGTTACCGATCTACATGTATTTTTTTATAAGTATAGATATAGATGTAACCATGTTCAAATAAATTTACCTGAATATGCGCCTGAATTTGGGATTGCCACGGTATTGACGACGCCAATTCAGACTCCTCGAGATGATGGAAGATATATGTCAAAATGACCATTTTTGACATAAAGAATCAATTAATAAGCAAAGAGGACTTTTCGCTTTGTATTTTAGATAGGATTAGATGGTTCTATTCTCTCTTAGGGTCTATTACAGAGCGCCTGCCAGAGGAAATAATAGTTGATTTCATTGTATTTATTCACTATTCATTTAATAAATTTGTTCCTTTCATCCTTTATAAAATTTTCATATTATATTTCTTTTAAATTGATTCACAAGATATTTCGTTACATATTACAATTGTTCTAATAAACAAATAAACTAAACTAATTACCTCGTTACGAAATGGGAGGTACAATAGCAAACCTCCTATATATTGTACGATGATTAAAGGACGACATACTCGCCCACGTCTGAAGCAATATAAACATCACATCATTGTTATGATGATTTACATAATATTATCATGCTCTGAAATTCACATCGACACAATTTTCAAAATCCTGAACGAAACTATTCGGTGAACATGCATAAGGAAGACCAAATATGCATTATCACGATATAACTCCTCAACACCTGTTAAGCAATTGATATCTGAAATAAATATCTAAAACAATGAATATTTGATGTTCTAATAGATGAACTTCAAATGGTTTTTTAATATATACCTTCAATGCCGAGATAAAAAGCTTATAGTATTTAGTTATTATCACCTTCAAAGAATCATATATGACAGGCAGGCAGCTGAATCAATATTATAAAAATGATTGATGAAATCGTGTAATTACACCTTTTTACTCCTTATGCAATGTATTTTTTTGCACATAAATATGCTACAGTTGTTGGACTAAAAAAAAGATCTCCAAAATTATTAGTATTAACTTGTGGCGTGGCATTGCTTCAATTATTAAAAACTTAGTACACTTACAATATTCCTCATTAAAAATTGATTTCTACTAATTTACACTTATGAATAATTAGAGAGTGCATGAAAAGAGAATACAACCAAAGAAACTGAAAATAAAATAAAACGCCAACGTCGTCAAATTTGTGATCGAAGAATACCGTAACTCCTATATATTTCTTTATGGATTTGGTGGTAAGAATTCGAACAAAGCAATAGGATTTTGATTATCATTATTCTTTATTAGTAAACCACAATAATAGTGATAATTCCCATCGTCGCCAACTCTCTCTCCAATTATGGAAGATTTGATACAACTCTGCATCATCGACACTTTCCGTTGGAACTTTAGTCTTTAGTATTTTACACAGAATCGATCCGCAGATTTTTGAGCTTTTGTAAGAGCGGATAGAACCTATTTCGATAGTATCCTAGTCAAAAGTTTATACAGCAGTTTTTATGACCTCAAGGATATCTATTGAACCATTAGCTCGCAAGGGTATTTCTTTGACAGGGACAGAGCAAACCATATTTGGATTTGTTGTAGAAACTTGAGATAAAGTGCTTGATGAATTTGTATCACTTCTCTATTTTTTTCAGTAGCTGATGTCGATTCCTCTGGCGAGAATTCCATAAGTTATTATTGGCTTTGGCCTATATAAAAGAAAACTGAATGAGAAAATACTTCATAAAAGAATAGGCAAGATTGAGAAATATACAAACCAAATTAGTTAATTTTTTTATGCTTACCTTATTGTTAAATAGTTCTTCGACAAAGTCACGGATTTCTTGAGGCTTATTTTGTTTGGTCGTAATAATCAAAAAATAAAAATCATAACGATTAATTGACCACCTCTCATATGAAACCAATTCAAAGCATTTCTCGTATTGAACAGTCACTACTGGTAGCAGAGGTGAAGTAGACATGATATAAAATTTAAAAGCTGTGCATAAAAAAAATTTGTAATACAGAAGATTGTTGAAATTTTTGAAATAGGCGTGTGTTTATATTTTTTGATTGAATAGGTAGTAATTGAGAATTTTTATGTATCGCTCGCTTAAAAGGTTGATGATGTGGTAGTTTGTGCTGACGATAAAGTTTATAAAGAGCTGTACAAAAGTTGCTGAATAGGAGAATTTTGACTGCGTAAAAAGTTAATGCTTGAACAAAAAATAAATTTGTAGAAATCAAACTTAAAATTCAAAGTCGCGTTATACTTTAAGTCATTTTTTCATTTCATTTCCCATTTCCTCTACTTCATTTATATTTTCCATTTGTCGTTAGTATTATATAACAAGATTAATTATTATGTTTCACTTAATAAGCCGCCCACATTTTATTTATTATAACTCTACATACAGCGGCAGGTTTTAGCGCCAGGTTTAGTAAGCAAAAATTGTATTTAGCATTTTACTTGTAAATGAAAATTGCCCGAGAATTCTTTTTAACAAAATGTGTTAAAAATCAAATCCTAAACTTATGGTAAGAAC